TGAAGTAATCCACCGCTTGAGAGGTGTTCAGAGAACACAGACCTGTGAACTTTGGTTCCGACCACAGTTGTTCCCAAGAGTTTGATTATTGCGGTTGCTGGATTTTCAATTATTGAAAATCGCGATGACTCGGGGCCCCCCATCACATGGGGCCCCCCCCCGCGGTGCGTGCCCTGCGGGCCCGTCCGCTACGCCACTGACCTATGGTGCTTGGCCCCTAATTATAAAATATAAATACAAATTGCAGTAACTGCACACCATATGAATGAAAATAATTAGAGCAGTAATTCCGTGACTGTCCACAAGAGGGCACCAATAGACCACTAAACGTGGCTGAGGCACATTTTCCAATTAAATAATAAATCAACAAGTATAAGTGGTAAATAACTCGACGAAATGATTACGTTTGTACATGTAAAGTGTTAACATTGCGTGCATTAGGTATACTGCACATGAAAGTAAACTTAATCATCAACTGAGTTACAACTCCAAAACCGGCCATTAGGCGCTATTGCATTATGGCGCTATTGCGCATTTCACCCGCGATCTAAAATAACAAGACATTTACATCAATTGAACCAAATACACTTACTTTCTGTGCACGCACAACTATGTACATCATCAGTGATGTTAATCTGCATGCAAACGTGAGCAGATAAGCAGATAACTTTCACTTTGTAGCGATTTTAGATCGGTTCTTTGTCTGCTCTCCACACCTGCTTCTTTTTCTTCTCTAAGTCCCGCCCATTAAAGTGACGATGCACTTGCGTATCAGTCAGCAGCAGATTGTTCCAGAAGCCTTTTGAACAGTTTAATTTCAAAGGAATTTTATCTGCACCATTTAAAAATATATTTATGCTGGTTTGACTACGTTCAGTAAGATATCGACAGCTTATACTAATCATTTCTCAACCACATTACTGGAGGCCCACCAGCTCTGGACTTTTTGTATGTCTCCTTAACCAAACACACCTGATTCAGATCATCAGCTCATTAGCAGAGACTGAAAGACCTGTAACGGGTGTGACAGACAAATGAGACATCAAATCATGCAGTGTTGGTGAGTCTCTAGGTGGTTGAGAAACACTGGTCTAAATAGGCTAATTTATTAAATTTTACTGTATACATTTCAAACTTTTCTAACTATACAGTAGCTTATATCCCCTTCTATACGGTATTTACTATGGTTTACACAGGTTTGTTGTCATCAATGTCATCGGAGGTGAAGATGATTCCTCCATTACCGGAAACATGAGCAGATTACACGGGTATAAAAACAGCTGAGCAGTTACCATGGGACGCTGCGTTTAGGATGCAGGGCATGTCTTTGTGACTCCAGGGACCACTGGACATGATACAAATCATTTCAATATGGATTAAAAAGGTCGCCCCCACTAATCTCCTACCATGTATTTTTACCATAGTCAAACGTGGGCCTATAGGCGTACGTTTAACCATTTTTCTCACGGAGGCAATGGCATAAAGGACTAGAGAACCCAGAAATTGTTTACACAAATAGTAAATTATTACAAAATGTGTTAATCTACCAATGAATGAAAATATATTCATTAATATAAATATTGAATACATTTATTAATATATTTATACATACATTATTAATATATTTTGCATACAGTAAAACAAGAGACAATTGCTGTGTCCTTTTCGGATGCTTTTACACTTGATTCGTTAAAAATAAACAAGTGCTCTCTGGCCAATGAGATGCAATTTTACCTGCACGTGATGAACTTTGGTCCGTTTAAAAGTTTAGCTTGTTAAAATTAGGTACTGCTGTACATTATAACGGCTTTGATCGATGTTTCAGACTAAAGCAAGCGTTTTACAGGCTTGGAAAAAGCCAAATGAGAGAGAGAGAGAGAGAAAAAAAACAGCTGCTAGGCTATTGCATTGCGGATTAAATAATGGTAACAGGTGTAGTTGTGGGATGTTTCTCGTGAGTTGTGACAGTAACGTTAATTCCTACAACTCGTTTATGGAAGGAGAGAAAGAGAGATGGAAGGAGGCGGAGACATCAGAGCAGCTTTGAATCGATCCACATGTTGGAGCTTTAGTTTCATGTGCGACCAGGTGTGCACGTACGGAACCCCGGAAGGGACGTAGTGGAGGAGAAAAAAAATGGGTGGGTGAAAAAAAATAATGGGTGAAAGAAAAAAAATGGGTGGGAGGAAAATATATATTTCTAAGTTTTTTGCGTTCTCTCGCAAAGTTTTGCGTTCCCTCGCAAAGATGTTTTGCGTTCCCTCGCAAAGATGTTTTGCGTTATCTCGCAAAGATGTTTTGCGTTCCCTCGCAAAGATGTTTTGCGTTATCTCGCAAAGATGTTTTGCGTTCCCTCGCAAAGATGTTTTGCGTTATCTCGCAAAGATGTTTTGCGTTCCCTCGCAAAGATGTTTTGCGTTCCCTCGCAAAGATGTTTTGCGTTCTCTCGCAAAACTGTTTCTCCACAAACACTTCCTGTTCACTTCACTCACGTAAACCCTCCCGTTTTTTCCGAAATTCTCCCATATTTTACTATTCTATCCCACTTTCTTTACTGTGCGCTGATTGTCGCCTTTCACTTTGCAACCTCTGAACCAGTGAATGCATGTTTAAGCGCTGACTGACAGACGCGCTCCATACAATAAACTGATCCCAGATCAGCGTCTGTACGCGCCATTTAAAGGGACACTTCTGTTATCAAACAAGTGCGCAGCAAATGAATCTCATGTTTTGTTTAGTTTGATAACAGAGGTGTCTCTGTAAGAATGCACAGATCTATAATGAAAGCAGTCTATTACTTTAGAAACTGTTTGTGCTCATTTAAGAGAAAATAAGCTGTTTAAAATAAAAGATGCAGGACGGAGATGTTTCATATTGTTCAGTGTATTTGTCTGTTTAAACATACACCCGCTCCTCTGTAAATGGCGTGTACATACGCTGATCTGGGATCAGTTTATTGTACGAAGCGCGTCTGTCAGTCTGCGCTTATACATGCATTCACTGGTTCATAGGTAGCATACGCACAGTAATGTAAAGAAAGTGGGATAGAATGGTAAAATACGGGAGAATTTCGGCAAAAACGGGAGGGTTTATGTGAGTGCAGTGAACAGGAAGTGTTTGTGGAGAAACAGTTTTGCGAGAGAACGCAAAACATCTTTGCGAGAGAACGCAAAACATCTTTGCGAGATAACGCAAAACATCTTTGCGAGGGAACGCAAAACAACTTTGCGAGATAACGCAAAACATCTTTGCGAGGGAACGCAAAACATCTTTGCGAGGGAACGCAAAACAACTTTGCGAGATAACGCAAAACATCTTTGCGAGGGAACGCAAAACATCTTTGCGAGGGAACGCAAAACATCTTTGCGAGATAACGCAAAACACTTAGAAATATATATTTTCCTCCCACCCATTTTTTTCTTTCACCCATTATTTTTTTTTTCACCCACCCATTTTTTTTCTCCCCCACTATGTCCCTTCCGGGGTTCCGTATGCACGCGCGTCTGCGATGAGCAAAGGATGGAGATGGTTAAACATATGCCAAAGCTACCGAAGGACAGGAATGACATTTAGGAATCGCATGCCTCTGGGTTTCTTCTTAATACCTGACACATGGTTTGATGATCTCTCGGCGTGTTTTGATCATTTTAAATTGGCTGTAAGACTCAGATGACAAGAGGTGTCCCATGGCTTTACATCATGATTTACCACAAGATATAGAGCAGAGGGAAACACCGGTGGAACTTGACGCTCTGCTTTTGGATACGGATATTATATTTGGATTAACCAGTCATTATTTGAGGAGAAAGCAGCAGGTGATACCCTAGCTTGTTGTCATGTTGCATGTTTTGTTGACTTTTTATGCAAATGTCAAACTTAAACTTAGTAAGTTTATCTTGTTTTTTACAAGAAAAAAAATATAAATGGATAAAATATTGCAGCACCATGAACAGCTCCTTTGAAAAAAATAAACAAATGTGTTGTAGGCTATTCATCTCATCTAATAGCTGTAAAGTGTGATGTCGACCACAACGAAACCTAGATTAATCAAAGTACTGTCTGAAATGCATAGTTTAATCATTCCTGGATCAGCTGACGCATTTTTGTAATGTTACTAAAATATTAGTACAAAACCCGCCGATAAATAAACTTTATAATCGTCCAATTGCAGATTTTATCCAGGTAGTGGCGCTAAAGTAATAGTAAATGACTGACTGCACAACAGAATCGACTGCGTGATGATGAGCTGCTCTTTCTCTAAGCACCTCATTGGCGTATGTCTGACTTCTACAAACGCAATAAATTGTAAAAAAAAAAAAAAAGTGAAGAAATCTTATTAATTTAGTTAAATAAAGAGTTGTAATATATGTAGAACATAAAAATAAATTAGCGTACAATAATAACCTTAAAGGTAGTTTGTGTAATTAAAAAAAATACTCACTATTTACTCACCCTTAAGTTTATGTTGTTGAACAAAAAATTTAATATTTGGAAGAAGGCTGAAAACTGGCAACCCTTTACATATAGGAAAAACTATTACGATATGGTTACAGATTTCCAACATTCTTCGAAATATCTTCTCTTGTGTTTAACAAGAACGTTGGTGAAACCGATTTGTAACAAGTGGTGAACTATTCCTGTAATATACTTTAATACTTTAAGAATAAACCTCGTGAGTAGCTTTATATATATGAATGTGATGCGAGTCATGATGCATCTTGCACGTCTCCTCACCTCAGTTTTAGTTAGGAAAATCTGTAATAAGATTTTTTGAGTTTTTCTGAAGTGTTTCCCTCAGTTATAAGAGTAATTGCATTATATGAGAAGAAGCTGATAAAATGAACTAGGACAAATATTGCATGTGCAGCCTATATCACGCTACCCCCCTCATAATACAGCGATGCGCGCATTGAGTGTGAAGTGAGGAGCGCGCTGTGGCTGTGGGCTGAGCTGAGATTCTGCTACGCCCCTCACTGACTCAACGCCACTCTAACTTTGAGACCCGATTTAAATTCATTTATAGTTAACATGAGAAGCGCGACATCTCGAAAGACTAGAAAAACTAAAATTTAGACCCTTATATTTGTAAGATTTATGAACAGAACATCCATGAAATGAAAAGGATAATTTACAGATCTCTCAGTGAGTCGGAGCACAGACTGTGTCTAACACGCGGGGACATTTAAAGCCAGAAACATGCGCTCTCATTATTGGGTTCAAGGTGGAGGACGTAGAGCAGATTTCAGGAGGTTCACGGTGAGATATGGCATGATGTAATTTAACAGCTTATGTGTTTATGCTTCAAATAACTTTGTCATGTTTATTGATTGATTGATTGGACCTAATGTCATGCATGTTAACAAAATGTGAGACTGGTCTCATGTTTGCATTTCCCAGTTAGTTCAGCTGAGAGAAACTTGGTAATTGGTAAGACTGGTAATCCATATAACTCATTTAAGGGTTTTTTGTTATTGTTGGTTTTGTGAATGTCATATTTTGAGTCTTATCCCTAAAAATAATTAGCATTAACTGTTAAAAACATTTTTGTGGTATTAAACATTTATTAGATGATTAGTGTAATCTTCACACTATCAAAATACGTTTTGAATCATACTTTTAAGAGTGTAAGTTTCATTCCCACAAGGACCATAACTGCATAACAACACATATGTTTATAAATCATTCTCAATATCTGTTGACAACCAAATAGTTATTATTAATGATAACTACAGCATGGCTACATAAAGAAAGCTCAAGTTGGGACCAACTTTACACACCAGCTGATGATATTGTTCTTGATTAAGTGTTGCTGGACTATCCTACTCTGCTGCTTTAAATTCCCAAGCTCTTTAAAGGAGGATGGATTCTGATTGGCTCATATTCAAATCCATATCGAAAGTGATATAAATGCTACTGTTTCTTAGTGCTGTTGCTGTTAATGATGTGGTGTGGACTGCAGATATATGATTTTATACCTAATCTAGTTTTAGAACTAAATTTTAATTTTTTTCATTCATTTTCTTTTCGGCTTAGTCCCTTTATTAATCAGGGGTTGCCATGGGAATGAACCGCCAACTTATCCAGCATATGTTTTACGCAGCTCATGCCCTTCCAGCTGTAACCCATCTCTGGGAAACACCTATACACTCCCATTCACACACATACACTACAGACAATTTAGTTTAAAAAATCCATTTATAGCATTTGTATTTAGACTTGTGGGGGAAACTGAAGCAACTGGAGGACACCCATGCAAACACAGGGAGAACATGCAAACTCCACACAGAAATGCCAACTGACCCAGCCGAGGCTCGAACCAGCGACCTTGCTGTTGTGAGGCGACAGTGCTACCCACTGCACCACCGCGCTGCCCATAACTAAAGATAATAAATGAAAAATAATTTATTATAATGAATTCACAATAATTTAATAATAAAGTCCAGAAGTTATAATGTAGTGTGGCACTTTAAAAGCTTTATAATAAAGTTTTATTGCATTCTGATTGGCTGTTAAATGATTGTTTATCAGTGTCATCAGTATTGTTATAGTGTGAACTTCTTTTCTTTTGCTTTATATTTAGAACAAATTTTAGCACATTTTCTTAATTGTTATAGTTATCGTCTTTGAACTGGCCTTTTAGGTTTATTATCTTGCCAAGTATGAGTCTTTAAAGTAAAGTCTATATTGTTCATCATAATCATGTTTTATTTTTCCCAGCAACCACTTTTCATTAATCCCTCATTGTGGACTGTTCTGTTCTGCTCTTCTCTCACATAAGGTCATTGAGGTTTCAGAAAGCAGTGAATCAGTGCAGAGTCCGGCACTCAATCCTAGGAAAAGGCTTCATTCGGCAGAGGAAGTGCAATGCGGCAGCCGGCCAAACCCGGAGGGTGCCGGTTCAGCGTCCGTAACAGAGTTAAGTTATTCTGAGAACAAGCACGGGAGGGAAAGCCTGTGTCAGCGATGTCAAATCATTGCGAACCAACTGAACAGGCAGGCGCGCGAGCTGGCCGAGCCAGGAACTCTGAAGGTTTGTGCATTCAACTATACCATTAAATCAATTCATCTCAGGGCCTGTTTCATCATGAACACAGTGACAGTGGTGTAGAAATAATCGTTTTAATCTTTGCAGTAATTAAAAGAAAAAAAAACTACTGTAACCATACCCATTGCATTCAGAATAAAGCATTTAGATGAGTTCGAAAAGATGGGTTACTCAACAAGTTCAATCATTCTTCACTCTGCCTATTTTATTGCACCCAGTTTGACCTTTTTTCCTACATGGTAACATAAAAGGTGATGTTTGGCATATAAGCAGTCTAAGTCTTCTCTCACTGTCAAAATATGGAAAAAAGATGTCTCGAAAATGAAAGGCGACAGACACTGTCATTTTGCCTGACATCTCTTTTGTGTCCCAAAGAAGAAAGAAACAGCTGTGGAACAACATGACAGGCAGTGTATGATTAAATAATTGTAATTTTTGGACGAAGTGTTCCTTCGAATTATGGAAGATCCTTATTACTTTTTAATATATGTTGAATGCATGCATGCATACACGTACCACACACAAACATCTGAAAATTACAATTTATATAAAATAGATTCATTCTGATGCATTGCAAGTCAGAATTCGTCACAGACACCTTTGGGACACATCACTGTCATTGAGGATTACTGACTTTGTTGAAGTCTACAGAATATTTTGACTGGTCTTCCTCTTGTATCTAAAGTGTTCTTAGACAATTTTCGAAAATATGAGATGGCCACCAGCGTCTTGACTGTCCTCAATGATTATTGTAGATGATCGTGAGATGTACTGCAGGTAAAAACACATTTCAATGACCAGAGGAGCGACCAGCTCAGCAGGATTTTATGGTCCCATTAATCGTAAACGATGACACACTTGGAGTGGCTGTATTCAAGAGCAGAACTGCTGAGATGAACGTAAGCAGTCATGCCTATCATTGGTGATGAGCGCTCTGATGATATTAGCTGTCCCAGCAGTGCATAAAGAGAAGGTTGTGTCTAACCTTAGCCTTTCACAATAAAATCAGCTCAAACTAAAGTTTAACAAAGCTTTTAAATTAAATCTCTAGACATTTTTGAACCTGTAAAGATCATTTTAAAGGTGAAATATGAAATCTGTCAATTACTTTTCAGCTTGACCAGTAGTAAGAGTTTGGGGCGTGACTACTGTAGGATATGGGTGGGGCCAGATGTTGTGTAGCTTGGGATGTATTACATCATGTTAAAAGAAATTAAAGCTGCATCTGAATTTCTGAAATCGTAAACTACCTGAGTAGGTACTAGATTTCAATCTGAATTTTACTTCACGACAGCTAAAGAAGTATATTCTACATCACAGGTGTCAAGCACAGTTCCTGGAGGGCTGCCGCTCTGCACAGTTTAGTTCCAACCCTAAATAAACACACCTGATCGAACTAATTGAGTCCTTCAGGCTTGTTTGAAACCTACAGGTAAGTGTGTTGAAGCAGGGTTAGAACTAAACTGTGCAGGGCTGACAGTTTGCAGTTGCAGTGCAGTTTGACACCACTGTTCTACATAGTATGAATGCGTGTAGTAAGAATAGAATTCATACATACTTCATCCAGCATTTATCATTCTCACATGACCTACCAGTATCAGTTGGGTCTCTTAACTCTCATTCATAAATTCTCTCAGAGAAAGTATGGTGTCCATTGGATGCACAGTTCAATATCTCACCAGAAATAATAGGCCATTTAGGTTTTTCTCAAGTGTATTCTCACTGCAGTCTGTGAACAGCTCATGGACGTGCATGTGCAAGCTTTGTTGCTACAAATAAGCATTATTTATAGTAATTATTGAATTATCCGTTACATTGAGTGTTATTAACATCTACCCCAACACTAAACCCAACACTGACAGTTATTGACCTATCCTAACCCTAAACCCAAGCGACACAGTAGCATGGGTGTTTCAATGTCCTACAAAAGCTTGCACATGCACGTCCATGAGCTGTTTGCAGACTGCAGTGAGAATAAACTTGAGAAAAAACCTCATCCAGTACATCATCATGTTACCGACTGCAGCAAGGACATCGGCTGCGTCTGAAATCACATGCTTCGATACTATATAGTACGCCAAAAACAGTATGTGAGTAGTATGACTAAATTCATAGAATTTGAAAATCAGTATGCGAGATGTACCCGGATGACCTACTACTTCGGGCGAGATTCTGAAGTGCGCATCCCATGCATGCTGCACTATCCCATGATGCCCCGCAAGAGAATTCATGAATGGGAGTGAAGTGATGCAACTCACGGGGGTAGGTCACGTGATCATGACAAAATGGCAATCTCCGAATTCCTTTCATACTGCTCACATTTATACTGTATAGAACATTGGTCACCAAACTTGTTCCTAGAGGGCCGATGTCTTGCAGATTTTAGCTCCAACCCTAATCGAACACACCTGAACAAGCTAATCAAGGTCTTACTAGGTATACTTGAAACATCCAGGCAGGTGTGTTGAGGCAAGTTGGAGCTTAACCCTGCAGGGACACCGGCCCTCCAGGACCAAGATTGGTGACCTCTGGTATAGAACGTACTTATCTAACGGCCGAGAAGTATGTTTAAATTCAAATGCAGTACCTACTGAGTAGTATGCAGTTTCGGACGCAGCCATCTTGTTTGTCTGTTTTTCAAATGCTATGAATCCAGCCATACTTCTCTGCTTGCATACTGTTTTCCACATACTATATAGTAGGTGATTCGGATACACCATAAGATTCCTTGACAGAAGTAAAAGTAAAAATTTAATGTCTTGCCAAGATCCATGGAGATAAATAACTTAGAAAAACAAAGATTATCTCTGAAGGTGCTTTTACAAGATAAAGGAATTTGAAGAAATGTTTGCGTTTCAATTACGACACTGAATTTGCAGAGTTTCTTATTAACACAAAATCTGAAAGTTTTTAACAATAATTTTAGCTTTTCACCATTAAGCCAATTTATTAAGTTAAAATATTGCATCTATAAGAATAATCTTTGTGAAAAAGCTCAGTGAGGGTAAGTGATGTTGGCAAAGGATGCAAATAGTTGCTTTGTTTGTAAGAACACTAGTGCAGAAATGATATACACTACATGTAGCCTCTGGCTCACAGCTGAAGGTTGAACACTGTCAATAACTTAGTTGTTTAGATTTGACAGTTGTTTCTTTGCAATTGCTAACATTTATTATGCAGTGACATCATTATTTATGAGGGTTAATATATTGTCTTGTTTCCATGTTTGTATACAGCAGCACTTGGTTGTTATTGTTTGAAACAATGCTTGTGAAAGGAGGTGTAGAAGTGATAGGATCTGAAAAGGAAGCTAAATCACCTCACTTTTATTAGTCAATGAAAGTGTGATCCTGTTGGCTTGGTAGTGCATTTCCTCATATCCAGAGGTTGTGCATTCCTTCACGTGGACTGAGGATATCAAGAGTTTCAGACACGCCTCCCTTGTCATGTTTTGGTAATCATATTCTCTCTAGAAAGAAACATTCATGTTTCTGAATGTGCCTACTTCCATAATCCCCTGACAGTTACATTCACATTTTTTACTAAAGCTGGTTGTAGTAAACCTCACGCTGAATCAACAAAGCAGTTGAAACCATTGTTTACAATGCAACGCTATGGAGATTGCCCAAGTTTCTTTGGCCTGTTTACATTAATACATTTTAGTTTTAAAACAGCGTTTTAGAATGAGAAATATCCATGTCCACACAGGCGTTTCAACTAGCATTTTTGAATAGCCCTCCGTCCATACTATACCACTGAAAATGCACATCACATGACCACACACACAAACTCTGGTATGCGCTTGAGCGTATGCACATGTCTGAGCTCAAGGCAGTCAGCAGGTGCTTTTAGCATAGAATCCCTGGTGAGAGCTGTGCACGTCGGACTGTTTAGAGTGCATGGACAAGACTTGTTGTGGAAGCAAGTGTAAAAAGTGAGAAAAGTTCTGTTCTTGTTGGTATTTGGATGGCTAGCTATAAAGTACCAGTGATGGGTACATCATTTTATCTAAAGTTGATATGCAGGTGCCGAATTCAACGTGCTCCACACACACTGATACATTCACCAACTTGGAATTATCAATAAGTCGTCACTTATAGTAAAATCAATACATTTTTCAAGATGTCACAATATTGAACAACATTGGTTTGTTGTAGTTTAGCAGTGTCATTGGACATATTGGTGTTGTTGACACGGTTTATCTATGATTGCACATGAAGAAACAATATGTCACAAACCCAATCACCCAATCACAAACCCAACGTGACCCTTCTTATATAATTTGCTATATACTGTAATCAGCCACTAATGGGACATTACTTTATATATATATATATATATATATATATATATATATATATATATATATATATATATATATATATATATATATATATATATATATATATATATATATATATATATATATATATATATATATATATATATATATATATATATATATATATATATATATATATATATATATATCCACGCTCAACATATACTGCTGATTTTATATTGTACAGTTCCATGAAGGTTATGTGAAGAACTTTTAACATCCATTAACCCCTTCAGACCTGAATTATGTTCCAAATTTCAGAAAAACGGGATGTCATGTGATGTCCATTGTAATGGACGCAGGGTCTGAAGGGGTTAAACCTTTGCATTCCAGGTATTTACATTGGAAAAAAAAAGTCACACTTTATTTTGATGATTCGTTTGTTGAATTTAAGTTACACTGCACCTACATGCCAACTAATTCTCATTAAATAATAAGTAGACTGTTAGGTTGGGGTTAGGGTTAGTGCAAGTTGACATGTACTTGTAAAGTTTCTTATAGTCAGTTAAATGTCTGTTGAAGGAGCAGTATCAACATATACTAAGCAGACAGTCTACTAATACTTAAATGAACCATCAAAATAAAGTGTTACCCAAACAAGTGATTATTTTAGGATCTGTTCTCTGTTCTTTGTCAGGTCTTT